CGCCGACACCTCCCAGATGATTATCATGCCGTCCCTCATAGATGAACTTGCCATTGCGGTATTCATGTTAATGGCATTCGTACAGCAACAGATCTTCCTGGTTCACGCTCTACGTGCGTCACAACCGAACGGCACCAAGCAAAGAGTGACTACGACCATTACCCCGGAATGCAGCTACTCACAGACACGCCTCACATTACAGGCTGACCATACCCTAGCCTACTCTGCGATGATGGTCTCTACCACCTTCACAAACAATATAGGTAGACTCTCATTCATCGCCCAAAACAGAGTGAGAGATGATAATTCAATCTCCTACGCAGCCATCCCGCCTCGAGTCCCTGATTGATGAAACGAAAGGGATTGTCTCTTGTCCCACTGGCTAAGACGCACATCACATCACCAAGTAGTCAAGACGCAGTGATCGGTGATCCGGGCTCAGTCCATCAACGACCAACGTGTCCCCTGCATACACTGCCCAGAAACACATATACCCAATGTCCCCGAGACATGCCCCTCGTTTCTTCCCATCACGATATACTCACTGAGTCTACACTCACCGCCTACATTTTACGAATCAGCAACGCTCATAGCCACTACCCGGTCAGAACGATACTCAGAAAGATTGCCATCATCCGTGACACTGGCGCGCATGTCACAATACAGCAGCACCGGGAAAAGCTACAACGAAAGATTGATTGGTAAGTATCTTACGTATTCAGGTTCACGATCCAAGCAAAGGCTGTGCAACTCATGTTAGAACTCGAAAAACGAACCTGACGAGATCACGAGGATCCGAGAGACGTTGAACCTAGCTCAGAAGTTCAGCGGAATAGTTGCGCCTGAAGTCCACAAAGAGTCTGTGCGCGATGGGTTTGTAACGAAGATCCTTGCCGAACGGAGATACTGGTTGTTAATGACACGTATCGGTTGGATATGGAGCCTTTTACTACGGTAGGACGCCGCATTACTAAATCGTTAGACGCTCCCCTGGGAATAAACCCTTCCATCAATGTCTGGCAACCAACATAGATCACACACTTCACCAGTGGGAAGTCGACTTCGAGACCAAGTGCAGAGGTGGCAAAGATCACTCGGGATGGTGTGTTGGTGATGGAGGTGAAAGCTGTAAGAACGGACTGCGGATCGTCACTGTTCAGTTGACCACTGTATACCAAGGGCGGGGATGTCTTGCTGCCTGAAGTTGCAAGAGCACTCCTGTATCGGTGACCGAGTTGAAGCTGGCGAGGAAGGATTGCTGATTGCTCACTCAGTTGACCGGAGATCGGTCTAGCCATAGCACCTCGATCACATACTGTCTCCGAGGCAGAAGCGGCTGCAGGCAACACGATCAGAAACGGTGTAATCAGGGCAGCCGTCTTTGGCTGACGAGCGCGACAACGTGCAATCCACAGAACCCAAGCATTCATCCAACACTCGCACGCTCATCATTATTTATCCCGGAGCAAGAGAAGAATATCCAGTCATACCACCGGTAACCCAAAGGATTGATCCAGTCGAAACAACGCGCCAAGCACTGTACCCTCTGAACCGATTACCTACAGCTTCACATGGTCCCCTCCAGCATTCAAGGCACTCCCACCATGGCCGCCGTAATTATTGCCGCCATAACTATTGAAGCTGTCTTGCTACAGGCGATGAGGCTTATTCAACCTCCTCCTACCTTTTTGCCCTTCACCTTCTCGCTCAAGCCAATCTTCCGGATTTGGGAACCCAAGGCGGCTCAATCAATTACCCACCCGCAAGCACGGATGCCAAGGGCGGTATCGGCTCTTGGACAGCTTCCTGTCGTCGCAAGAACAGGCGGACAAGATCCCCAAAGTCATCGCTGCAATCCTTCATCTTGGCATCGGCGACTACGCCAAGGCATCCAGGTGTCTCGATCTTCGGGATGGGAGAGGGACAGAATTGGAGAAGTCATCACGCCCCAATATGACCCAGCACATTGGACACCAATCCTCGTTATGACCCGCCATGTGTGTTGTGAGACGGCGCGTGATTTTCCCCTTGGCCCTATCTCCTGAAATAACTGTTATGGCGTCACTGTTGGTGCTCCGCGACATTGATTGGGCGGATGACACTTGTGGAGTGAGAACTTGTGACACCGGTGTTGGTAGAGACTTCCGTTGCTGTTGTGAAGATACATCCCTCCCAAGCGTCTTCCCTCCTGGTAATCACCATGACGGGTCAGCCACGCTCTTGTGGAGGGACTTGTCATCCAGCAGCAATGTGCAGGTCGGTGTACCACCATTACCACCTGCAACAGCATCACCAAGAATCCCTTCACCAGCAGCAGTCTCAATAAGCCACATCAATGACCTTGTCGTCTCCTCAAGATGGAGCAGGCATATCACCAAACTTGGATTTCCAATATTCAAGTCAACAACCCAAGCCAAGGCAGTAGTAATCACTCCACACAGATTCACGTACGGCCTCGAGTGCAAGGTTTTGTTGCAACCCATCTACCAATCTTGACTCGCGTACAACGACCGCTACGTACATCGCCATTTCCCCAGACTTCGACCTAGCAAGAAGTGACCCCCGACAGTAACCAGCGATTGCAACAACCTTGTGGATCGATTGTCCATGGGCCACATCCCAGCCAAAGAGATCGACCTATCCCTCCTACACGATGTCATTCCAAATCAAACGCCTGGATATTCATTGACAACGGTTATCCTCTGACACCATCTGCCTCATCTCCATTTGACCAAACATGTTGTCTGTCTCGACCTCCTGGCTGTCCCGTTGGATAGGAAAGATGAGTGTGACTCCTTTCCTGGTGCCACGTCCTGACCGTCCCATTCCTTGGTCAAGAGCAATGATGTGATCTGGGCTCCCGACATATATGACCCCCATCACCAGTGGGAAGTCGACTCCAAGACCAAGTGCAGACGTGGCGATGATTACTCGGGATGGTGTGTTGGTGATGGAGGTGAAAGCTGTAAGAACGGACTGCTGATCGTCGCTGTTCAGTTGACCAGTGTATACCAAGGCAGGTGAGGTCTTGCTGGCCAGCTGTGCCAATATATATTTCTCCCTCCTACATCTATACGCGGCATACCTTAAGCATGACTCACACCTGAAATACGCACCATAATCGAGCAACAGATCGACAACCGCACCAGACCAGCTGTCATCGTGGCAAAGGTTCGAGCCGCCTTTCCCTCGGTCCTCATCACACCTGGAAATCTGTATCGCCCACAAACGCGGTCAATACCCCGAAAAAGCGTTCAAGATGGAACCTAAGAGGTCTACACGCCATTCACCCAACGGCTAATCGACCCAGCGGCTTGCTGCTCTGATTCACTGGGTATATGGTTCTCCAGCTCGAGGGGAAGAAATCATCAACACACTCCTCATCAACCTCCCAAACGCGCCTAGATCAATCCATGTGATCTTTCAACGCCTCGTCATCATTCTACTCTACGACAAGACATCCTCCACCACTGGCATCAATCATCTTACCATCCGTTCACTGCCCCACTCAGTCAGCATACTCCTGTTCAACTACCTCGCCTACCTCTGTCCTCTCGAGACCTGTTTTCTCAGCGTGATACACCACAAGCCCAAAAGCATCACTTCCACCGCATCCTACCTCTTTGTCACCAATGGAAAACGATGGGACTCGGCCAAGTTATCTGCCAATCTCAAGGAATGACACTTCGATGGGCTCAGTACAGCAACATGGCCATGGCCTCCCCAAGATAGGTACACTCACGAGATACGCAAGCAGGGGCCTGACCGACAGCGTGTCAACTAACGAAAATTTATGTAACATTGCCGCCAATTCAAAGGGATGGTCTCACGATGGTCTCTTCCATCAGTCCGACGACGTCGCCGCTCTTCGAGCCAAGCTACAATCTGCATTGAGCAGTCGAAGACTTGAGACCTCTGAGAATCACCAAAGCAGTGCTGGTACAGTCATCGTGATCATAGCACGTCTAGCTATCCTCGTTCTTCTTCTCTCGGTCAAGCTCATCCTCATCTTCCCTTGCGATGTCTTCCACGGTTCGCGTCATCTACTAAAGTCGAGGATGGCAGAAAATGGATGGGCCAAATTCAGTCGTATTGCGTAGCATGTGACGCGGCCCATTGTACGAGGTGGATGAACGACGCATATTCGTGACCTGCCCCGGACAACAGGCCATCAAGAAAGACATGAAAGCAGAAGTAACCAAGCTCATCGACAAGCTCGAATTAGGGCAAGAAAGCCGGAGGAAACACAAGCAACTAAACCGAGCACTCTTCAGGGACAGCGACCTAACGAACGACGGACGAGGACCATGGAACGACCTCCGCAGACGAAGCAGGTACATTCGAACAGGCGATAGCGGCAACTCACAACAGTTGAAGCCGAGGTCCCGGCAAAGGTGCAGTATATAGTGAGAATGCGCAGCAACGGAACTAGTCCCTAGGCCTTGCCCTGATGGCCAAGTTTTGGTAAGGCGTTCGTCTCGCATACCGGAAGGCGAACCCCATCCGGAACGCGACGCTATCAAGGCTAAGATTGCCAAGCTCGAGATAGAGATCAACTCGTTGACAGAACGCAACACACAGACTTCGAACGCAGACGCAGAAGTCTCGAACGCACACGCGGAAACCTCGAACAAGAATGTCTCCAAGTCGAAAGACAGCATGCCTAATCTTACCAGTAGAACCTATACGCCTCACCTGCAAGGTAAACACAGAGTTAATCTCTTCAACGCCAAATCGAAAGACGTGTCCGTCAACCCCTTTGCACAAGGCAGCCCAACCAAAAATCTACAACCGGGGAAAACATCGCTGACCCCCCTGGCCAACTCCCTCAGGGTGACACAAACGACGGACGAGGACCATGGAATGACCTCCGCAGACGAAGCAGGTACATTCAAACAGGCGACCGAAGCGATAGTGGCAACTTACATTGAAGCTGAGGTACCGGCAAAGGTGCAGTAGTTAGTGAAAATACGCAGTGACGGAACTAGTCACTAGGCTCTGCCCTGATGGCCAAGTTTTGGTAAGGCGTTCGTCTCGTATTACGTAATCATGCGGTGAACGAAAGATCCACGGTTCGAATCCGTGTCAGGGCATGTTTTGCTGGCTTTGCTGGCTTTGCTGGCTTTGCTGGCTTTGCTGGCTTTGCTGGCTTTGCTGGCTTTGCTGGCTTTGCTGGCTTTGCTGGCTTTGCTGGCTTTGCTGGCTTTGCTGGCTTTGCTGGCTTTGCTGGCTTTGCTGGCTTTGCTGGCTTTGCTGGCTTTGCTGGCTTTGCTGGCTTTGCTGGCTTTGTATGTCGTCTTCTGCCGTATTCGTCGACGCTTTCGCCCACCATGCGGTTGGACGTTCGAAAGCTTTCTGCATATGTTAGCCCTTCTTAGTCTTTCGTGATTACATGATTACATGATGCCGCAAGTAAAATGGTCTTTGAAAAAACGAACGTCTCGCCTGTCTAGGCACGCCAGAAGCGCCACTCACCGCTGTATCAAACCGGACTGCAGGCGCCTTCTTTTTCCTTTGTCTAGAAAAGTTCGCAACTGCTATTTTGTTTCCCATAGTATTTTTACTTGACTGCCAAAAAAAGCCGTTACCGTAGTTTGAGGCATCAAGTACCTCCGTGAGTCATAACCCTAGCTGTTCAGCAGGACAGCATGAGATCTCGAGCTGAATACTTGCTTGCTCAGTGATTTCATTTCCCAACAACGTTTGTTTACGACCTCGTACGTCCTGCAAGATCGGTCATACCTCGATAACATCATGCCCCCTAAACGTATGTACACATTCACTACTATTTGAATATGCTCACTGCTCACTCTGCAAAGGTACAGCTGCTACTCCTTCTGTGAAGCCCCCTTCTCGTGCGACCGCAAAGCCAGCTTCCAAGGCTGCCGCTACCAAACCCGTATCCAGCGCCAAGCCAGCTTCTCGCCGCAGGGTCAGCGCAGTCGCCACACCCGCCCCGACCGTACCTACTGAAGTACCCATCGCGGAGAATGGCGATGTAGACATGGCAGCTCCTTCTGAAAAGCCCAAGCTGAATGGGAATGCTGTCGTCAATGGGAATGGGGATGTTAGTAAGAAGAGGGGTCGAGTTGGGGAGCTCGCTGGGGAGCTCGCTGGGGAGGAGAAGAAAGCACGACGTCGGTCCAGTCTAGGCATGGCACTAAAGAACCCAATCCCTCAACCACCTCGTGAGTCGTCCCATTTGTTCTGATGAGAAGGGCTAAAGCAGGATTAGCCTCGAATGGTCCTCCCGGAACAGTCTTTGTTTGGGGTACAGGAGATAATGGTCAAAATGGACTAGGGCCGGACGAGCTAGATGAGATCCCTAGGCCGAGATTACAGACTTGGTCAGTATCTCCTTTATTGTACAGTAGACGTGTTGAAGCTGATCTTGGGTGTTTAGGTTGGACGAGCAGCAAAAGGAAGGCAAGCTTGGCCGAGACGGGAAAGGAGGCATCGAAACGCTTGCTTGTGGTGGTATGCACACTCTCGCCATTGATGAAGCTGGACGAGTGAGTTTACAAGAGTCCAAAGGGGCGTAAGGGCTGATATATCAAGGTGCGATCATGGGGTATCAACGATAATGCGGCCTTGGGACGAATCACCGTCGATGTGCCTGATCCCAACAACCCCGACTCTAAGATCCCGAACGAGGATCTCGAGACGTATCCATTCGTCATTGAGGCGTTGGAGAAGGAGGGATTCAGGGCAGTCCAGGTCGATGCGGGAGATAGTGTGAGCGTGGCTGTTTCGGACAAGGGAGAAGTACGAGCTTGGGGTAGTTTCCGAGTAAGTTGGCAGTGTTTAAGTGTGACCATTCACCTAACTGATCCTGGCAGTCAAATGATGGTGTCCTTGGATTTGACGGTGTCCCTGGCCATTCCCCATTCCAATTCAACCCCATGCCTCTACATTCACTACAAAAAGCAAAGGTTCAGGTCGTCCAAGTCTCATGTGGAGCCGACCACGTCCTGGCACTCACTACCACTGGGCACGTTTACGTCTGGGGCAACGGGCAGCAAAGTCAACTCGGTCGACGAATCATGGAGAGGCGCAAACTCAACGGTCTCGAACCTGAACGTCTCGGACTTCGTAATATTACCTACGTCTCTACGGGAACATATCATTCTTTCGCAGTAGATGCGAGCGGTACGGTATGGGCCTGGGGTCTCAATACATTCCGACAGACTGGTGTGGCGGATTCACGAGGTGGAGAGGAAGACATGATTTCCATTCCTACCCAAGTCGACTCTCTACACCCGGACGAACACAATGGTGCCAAGGTAGTTCAGATCTCAGGCGGAGAACACCATACCATCTTCTTATTTGATAACGGAGAAGTATGGGGATGTGGACGATGCGATGCGCACCAGATTGGTATCGCAGAGGATCATCCTGCTTTCCAAGGCGTGCTGGCAAGACGTAAAGCGATGCAGCAGGCAAAGGCGGAAAAGCTTGACGCTGCTCTAGGAAAACTTGAACAGGCCAAGAAAGAAGGAGACGAGGAGAAACAAGAGGCTGCAGAACAGGCTGTGGGTGCCGCACAAGCAAATCTACATGCTGCTTTGGATGAATACATTCCCGAGCCAGTTCGCGTGAGTTTATCACCCCTTATTCCTCGATATTACGATATATGATCCTGATGCTGATGGATTGACGATAGATCTGTTTCCCACCTATTCCAGAGACGTACGAAATCGTCCCTGACTTCCCAACATATTCCGAATCTAGTCCATCAGACAACCCAATCGCAGATATCGCAGCTGGGACTAGACATAATCTCGCTGTATCTCGATCAGGTCATGTTTACTCTTGGGGTCTAGGTAGTAAGTTTTTCCATTTATACTGTCTCTTCTTTCTCTCCCTTCTTTCTCTTTGACCTACATATCGTTGCCATTGAGCTGTGAGCTATACTAATTTGCGATTCAGTACAAGCACAATTAGGTCTAGGTCAACAAGAGAGCGCAGAAGTACCTACGCTCGTTCGAAGTAAAGTCAGCTTTTTCTCTAACTCAACGTTCGACGTAAGAGCTGACTATGTATGTAGTGGCTCAAACCGTATACTGCTATCAAGGTCTCTGCGGGAGGACAACATTGTGCCCTTGTAGCTCGACTTAGAGAAGCCAATGGCGCTTAAAAGAGTCATGAGTAAGCTCGAGAGGGACACGAGACGATCATGTGGATTTGAAGCATATACAGATAGGTTTAGCATATTGGCGATGCATAATTGTGTGAGATTGCAGATGCGCACTCAGTGCGTACATGTTTGTTTGAATGAATGCCTTTCATGCAATGTGGAGTGATGTGATTCGCCAAGTCCCTATGCAAAGATTGTATGATTTTCCCCTCTCCAATCTGACCTGTTTCTTCCTCGTCGTCTTTCACTTATCGCGTTAACCTGTTTTTCCACGGAGGACAAAACCAAGCCCTAGAGCAAAGTCTCTCCCAAAGCAGCTCGAGCAAGTGATAATCCCACAGCTACTGTATTCTCCGCTGAACGCGCATCAAGTAAAGATGGGTTGACCTCCTAAATGCAGAGTATATAGAGTCAGAAAAGCCAGAAATCACTGGATATTGCAAATCCCATTTCTCTCGGATAAATGAGAAATGACAAGTGGGGAGAAGGAAAGGGAGAAGGGATAAAAGAAAGAAGGGAAAGAAGCGAGAAGCGAGAAGCGAGCATGGAGAAGGGACAAGGGGGAAGGGGGAAGGGGGAAGGGGGAAGGGAAAGAAGGTGGAGGGTATAGGATATTATAAAACTCACCATAATATCAAGAGCAACGAGACAGCCTGTCTCTGCTACTGCTTCGGTAATATAATGACCTTCTCGGAATGTTAGACCTCCTCGTACAGGTGTACCGGTACCTATTCCCCCAAAATATCAGTCTCTACGAACAGGCACGGATCGTTGACTTTTGGGAGGCCATGATCTTTACAGGCGGTGAGGCGACAAGGGAGAGAGATATAGAGAGAGAGAGAGAGAGAGAGAGATATAGAGAGAGAGAGAGAGAGAGAGAGAGAGAGGGTGTGTGTGTGTGTGTGTGAAAAGCCTACTAGGTGCAACAGTCGGATCAAGAGCATCGACATCAAAACTCAAATGAGTGGGTCTATCCCGATTAGGATTGACCAGATCCAAAGCCATTTGCATGACTTTTCCGATCCCGTGGGCATCAACGTCATGCATGCTGAATGCTTTTATACCAGTTTGTCGAAGAATGGTTTTTTCAGGTGCATCGATGTCGCGTAGGCCGATATATACTCTAGTGGCGAAAGGTTCGGTCAGTCTCAGGTATAACGAAAGTGAGAGTAATGTGTATCAGACGGAAGATGAGTAGGAAACAACAACATGGCGATTAACATGAATGTTGCCTTCTCAGATGAGATGTGACTCATGAAACGTGACTTTGGAAGCTGGATAGGAGAAAAAGCAAGCTCACATGTCTGACGGTTTCAAGCACGGTTTGATCCATTTGAAAGGCTCAACATCTGTTCCTTCCAGACCCATCAAGAAAGATACAGGTGTACCGTGGAGATTACCAGAATCAGTCGTGAGTGGTGTATTGATATCGGCATGCGCGTCGACCTGAATCATCAGTTTTTTTTTGAAACCATAACGAGCTGAGACTTCGATAGCTTACCCAGATGAGACAAGCGTCAGGATACTTTGATTTTGTTCCAACCACCGTTCCCATCGCCTTACATGAATCGTCAGCTTAATTCCCTCCGTCCGCCTGGAGTCAGATCGCGTCACATACCAATGAATGATCGCCTCCTAGAGTGAGGGGCAGCCAACCCTTCTTCGCACTTCCGCCGACGGCCGCTGCGACCTGCTCATTGACGGCACTGACCAGCCGAGGTTTCTTCATCCTACCCACATCAGGATCTGGTAGCTGCTGCGACACCATCTGTCCACCAGCAGATGTCGTGCTGTAAATCGGATTGTATGGGATATCGACAAAAGATTGTTGGTTCTCGTAATGAACTTGCCATCCGAGTGAGGCAAGTTGTGGTATCAGACCAGCTTCAATAAGACGATTAGGAGCGAGATCGACACCTGAGCGACCTTGGCCACCGCTACAGAACGCTTAGCATC